TTAATTGGTGTTTTTGGGAGCAGAAGCCTCCTGCGCCCTCGATTACTTCCGATCCCTATATTTTATGCTAGGTATGAACGAGATTAGGATCCCCTCATGATCACCAATTAGGAAATAGAAATAAAGAAAATGAATTTCCATATCTTAGGATAGAATATTCGTAAATTTTCATTGATCCATATCTTCCATCAAATGTCATTATTCCCCTATATTGAGATTTCTCGCCTCCTTGGATTCGTCAAAGATGACTGACTCGAATCCGATCCCCTATTCGTGATACCTATTTTGAATTCCCTTGTTACGTCATTTTAGGATAATATATTCCTCAATGGCTGAATATCCCTTAATTGGCCCGGAAAGGAAAGACGATTACAAAATCAATCGATATCCATGGGAGAAATTTCCATATTGATTATCGACGAAGATTAGAAGAGATGATCAGAAGATCGGATGATCTCTCTTCCCGATAAAAATCGATTCTCCTCATCATGGATATCATTCATTATATAATTGCATTTTCCCAATCATGATATATATCAAATTATGATGGCCATATTGATCCGAAATTAGAGGATATTATAGATAGATTTCGTCCATATCAAATAATGACAACCAAATCGTATGGATAATATTGGAAAGATAATTATCGAAATTTGATTTGGGATATATCGATTCCAATCATCAATCCCAATATCCCATAAAATATCGAACCCGCAATTGCTCTTGGGGCGACAAGAGAGAAATATCTTCGATCTGGGAGATGAAATCTTCTTTGCCGAAATTGAACCTAGGAATTCTGAAAATCAATCTGTCACATCGGGAATAAGGATATTAGATTTGAATTGATATTCAATTATCTCCACCAATAGATGATATTAAAATGGAGATATGAAAAATCATAATCTATTCTTGAATTTAGGAATCGAATTATAAGTGATGCGAGCGATTTCTGCGCTCAAGAATATCAATTAGAAATCTCTAAGGATTTCAAAAATTCTTTTATTTCATCATGGGAACATAAATCTCCTTTCATATGGTGTTTTTTGGGGGGGGGGGGCAGAAATCTCTCGCACCAACGATACGATATGATTTCATTCTTGATGAATATGATTCTACGCCATCAATTTATGGGACTTCGATTCCCAAATCTCGGGATGACTCCTGATCCGTTCGGTACAAACGATTTCTGCGCCCAAAAGTACCAATTAGAAATCTCCATACGAGAAATTTATGAAGATCGTCCCAAATCACGATATCAATCCACGATTCCAGATAATATATTGAAAATTCCCCGTCACCCCCCCAATTCTACCCAAGAGCATAGAATCGCGTGATGACCACCAAATCCAGAGTCAAACGAGAGAATCTTCGTCGTTTCGATTGCAATGATAAGGGGGCTATAATTAAAATAGATCTTATCTTCAAATATGCAAATTTAATCTAATTTAATGAGATTCATCCAAAAAATAGAGAAATAATATATGGTGGGGGGTCTCCATTGCAATGCAAAATTCCCAATCATATTGAAAAATATTCCCCCATTCCCAATTCTCCAAGAACCTCGAGAAAATAAAATATAAAATCAATATATATATATATACGAATCAAATAAAATCCTCTATATAAGAATTCCCAAAAGATCATGATATATCTTAGCAGATCAGTTCAATAATACCTATGTAAGATCGAATTTAATATATCAAATATTGCAGATATTAAATTAGATAATCATTAATCAATTCTCAATTTCAAATATTTATGAGATATCAATTCTGTAGATCTTCGATATCCATGAGATCGATGAGGAATTAAACAAGAATGAATTAAAAATTGATTTCGATAAATAATCCTTATGAATATGATTGTTCTTTGATCTTTTGGATTTCTGATTGAAATATATTCAATATGATGAAAATCTTTTTGTAATTCTGATTTGGGTTAAAAATCATCTTTTGAAGAAATTTTTATGAAATTATCATCGTGAATCATTCAAATCTATGATGAGAATAAATGAGATAATTCTTTTCTAGAAAAAAAATATCACGATGAAAATAGAGTAATCTCAATGATATTATAGAGAAATCATTCAAAACGATTCTAGTGGTTCTAAGCCCTAAATTTCCGAAACCCGATATCCCTAAGTCCGTCCGACTTCTTTGGACTCCGAAAATCGCGCAGCACTCCTTGAGTTCGAGCGCGCGCCGGGTGGGATCGTCTCGTCCACCGTGAACTGCTGGAATCCTTTGGGCGCTCACGTTTAGGGTTAAGAAAGGGTTTACGGGTGAAGGCTTTGGGGTTTAGGGTCTAAAGTTCAGGGTTGAGGGGTGCAGAGGGTTCATTTTAGAGGGATTACTTACAAGGACTTTTTATACGTAGGGGTTAGGGGGTAGTTAGGGTGTTGAGGGCTGGGGCTTGTTGGGGTTCATTGGGGTTTATTGGGGCTTTTCGGGCTGACAAGGCTTGTAGGGTTATGAGGTTTAGGAGCCTAAGGTCTATAGGGGTTCAGGGCTTGGTTGTGGTTGAAGAGCTGTGTGAACTTTGGCACATCTGCTGCAACCGCGAGTTAGGGTTTCGGGAATAGGGTCTGAGAAACCTAAGCTCCAGGAAAGCACAACTTTGTAAATCCCCTCCAAAAGCCATCCGAAACTCGCAGTGTCACGCCCTGTCTGTCCTAATTGAGCCTTGGATGGGTTACCCTAAACCCTAAATCCTAAACCCATTTAAGGTTTCTGCCAGGCGGCGCCAGAGTCTGCGACCACGTTCGGCTTCCGACTCGGCGCCGACGTCGGCATGGGCGGCACAAGCGGCAAGCCTGTGGTTAGGGATTCGGGTTTAGGGTTTAGGGTGACGGGTTAAAGGTTGGTGTTTAGAGTCTCAGGGCTTAGGGTTTCCAAGAAAAGGGCTTACAGGGTTTGAGGTGGTGTTTAAGGGGTGTAGGGTAGCGGCGGTGGGCTTTGAGGGTTTGTAGGGTGCTTAGGAGCTTTCGGGCTTCGGAGAGGCGGGGTGAACAGAGATCAAGGGTTTAGGTTGTCTGTAGTTTAGGCTTATGGCAGCTTGGGGTGTTAAGAGTTCTCTATAATAAATAGTGCCGGGGGTCATTAAAAGGCCCCTAAGGCCCTGCACCCCTAAATCGCAACGCCCCAAAGACCGAAACCCTGAACCACCTCCAGGGTCTGAATTTCAACTCTCGAAGCCTGAAAAGGGTTTAGGGTAGTTTAGGGTCTAGGCTTCGGGGTTTAGGGTTGAAAGTTTAGGGTTTGGGGTTTAGGGTTGAAAGTTTGTACCCCAAAACTTCGTTCGGCCACGGTGCACGTCCACTCCTGGCACGCCGCGCTCACTTTGGCGCGGCAGGGCGCGGAAAATGGCCTTCGGCTGGCTTCAGGGCTGCACGCTTAGGGGTTCGGGGTCCAGGAGTGTTACGATGTGCAGTACAAGCGCCTGAATATCTATAAGCCAACATCAAGAAGGGCTTGGGGGTTCTTAAGAATCAAGAAGCTAACTCCTGAAATTCAGGTATGGAACGTAAACCGAGAAATTGAAAGCACCCACAAAGCCCTGAAGCAGCCACATAAGCCCTAGACCCTAAACCTTATAGTTCCTAAACTCAAAGCCCTAAACCCTAAACCCTAAACCCTAAACCCTAAACCCTAAACCCTAAACCCTAAACCCCAAGCAGCCACACAACCGGGCCTCCTCCTCCTGCAGCGCGCAATCGGGTGGTGCCCCCTGTCTTGCGCGTTCTTTTGGGGCGCAGCACGAAAGCCAAAAACTGTTCCCTAATTTGTGGGGGGGGTTTGAGCTCGTTTAGGGTTTAGGGTTTAGGCTTTAGGGTTTAGGGTTAGGGTTTAGGGTTTATAGAAATTGTATATGGTTTGTGTCCGGAGTTTTGGGCGGGTTTTGGGCGGGTTTTGGGCGAAAGTTTTGGGCGAGAGTTTTGGGCGAAAGTTTTGGGCGAAAGTCTTTGGCGAAAGTTTTGGGCCAAAGTTTTGGGCGAAAGTTTTGAGTGAGTTTTCTTTTTTGCTTTCCGATTTTTTGTTTTTGCTTTTGGACTGGGGCTGGGGCTGGAGCCGGGGCTGGGCGGCTGAGGCTGGGGCTAGGCCCCGGGCCGGGGGCCGGGGGCCGGGGGCAGGGGGCTGGAGGCGGCTGCTGGCTGCGAGGGCTGGCGCGCTTTGGATTGGGATGCCACTTTGGATGAATTTACTTAAGCTCCGCTTGGCTTAAACAAATAGCTTGGAACCCAAAGGTTTAAGTATAACATGGAATATTCACCATGATACCACATACTGGTCTTGAGGGTTTAGGGTTTAGGGTTTAGGGTTTAGGGTTAGGTTTTTCAGGGTTAGGCGGACCATGTTGGCTTGAGGGTCCCGGGTTGAGGTTGAGGGAAAGCCTTGACCACCAAGACCTACATGAGACCTGCTCTAAATCACAGTCCCTATTGTGCTCCTGGTATACAAAGGCTCCCAAACCTTCAGCACCCCATAACCCTTGAACCCATCCAGTCTGCGTTTTCAGAGCCCCTGAAAGGCTGTACACATCCGGCCTCGCGCGCTCCCTCAACACGCTTCCTGACACCTGAGCTGCAAAGGCTTAGGGTTCAGGACTTGTGGTTGAAGATGGTGTGTTGCGGTTAAGGACCTAATGTTATGGCCCGGAACCCTTTTGATGAACATTGGCTGGTGTTAAGGTGAGGAGGTGAAGGTTGCTGTGAACGATGCAATCCTTGTATCCCGATTTGTTAACATTGTTAAGACGTGGTATCTTAGAAAGGGCTATTCCAAATCCTCATTGCCCGATTTCAACGCTTCAAGTGCACGTCTCATTACGAACTTGTGCTTAATGGTAGGTTGGAGATAATGATGTACCTGCTTTGGTGTGCCGCTCCCCCCCTCTGAACAGTCGAAGCTGGTTTATGCCTTTAGACGTTCCCGGGAACTCATATGATTTTACTAAGGAGAAGCTTAAATGAGACAAACAGGGACAGAGACGCCCAGCAATTGATTTTAAACGCGCAGCACATGACATATGCTTCGACTTAACCGCTCGCACCCCCAAACACTCACACGGTCCTGAATAGCCCGGCCAATTTGACTTTAAACATGGGGCCCCCCTTTACATTACGGTATACGGCTATGCATAACTCCAAGTAGTTCCTGAACCTGAATCTCAACACCCCACACCCTAATCCGCAGTGTTCATTCGCACATTTTCTCCCTTCAGCTTTCTGTACATGAGCCGCAACTTGAACATGCTGCACCGCGCCAGCTGCACTGCGAGCGTGCAAGATCAAGAAGTGTCTAAGGGTCCAAGTACGCTTTCGCATTTGTGGCGTGCGGCCCCGCAAAACCAGAATGCTAATGGCGTTGGGACTTGAAAGCCACAAATCTGCTGCAATTGGACCCTGGGCTAGAGCTTGTCAACTCTGCACATTTGGGTTCTAACCCTCCGGAGGAGGGAACAGGACAAGGTCAACTTCTACACTATACCGTATACCCCTTGTGGGGCTTGTCTGCTCACATGTGCTCAGCAATTTCAATGATTTCTGTTGACAATCCCTGTAATTAGGCCACTACCCGGAAAGTCCGCTGCAACAATGGTGCCTTGCATCGTCTCATTGCTGTGCAAGACGTCGAATGCTGCTGAGTTAGTGTTGCGGGCGCAGGTGTAGGGATAACAGCCGCCACCTGAGCCGCTCAGATGGTTCAGGCCCACTTTGCATCCACGACATTTCTTGAAGTGATCCTCAATCTTCGAGATCTTGCCTTGGTTTTGCGAGTGACCTCAACAAGTCACAGTTGAACGAGATCAGTCCCCAAGAAGTGATTTGGCCAAACACACACATACCAAAAGCAAACACAAAAATAGGGGAGCATGCAAAGACTGTCTATTGTGACCGCCCAAACGTCGGGAAGTGCCCGGTGAATATCAGGTCATTCCCACGTGCTGCCCAGCGGGTGCACAGAAACGATACTTGTTGTGACTTCAGGGTGCAGAAACTTACTTTTCTTTATGATTCTGGCTTTGGGCCATTGGGGCACATGAAACCACAAATATCGGATACTTGCATCCTCTTGGCTGTGTCAGAGGCCAGGTGGCTTTTGATGTGGAAGACCGTCGGCAAACTGTAAGAATCTTGGATGTCCAATGCCCCGTAGCCGAAGGCCCCGGGGGCTCTTTCCCCTTGGTACTGCTGCAAAATCAAGATCTTTCCCCTGAGCTGCCCCAAAGTCACAGCCTCCAACTTTCCTGTGTTGTCTACAAACCACCGGGCACCAAGAACACTCAAGCAAGTTCCCTTCACCAGCTGGTCGAAGCCAGTCTTGTTGTTTGCCGCCTGGTACTCCTGTTTCACCCGCATCATGATGCCTTCACTGGGCTCTTCTTCAAGAAACTCCCGGCAGGCGCGAAGCACGCCCGTGAAGTTGATGTCCTGAAACTTCAGGCCATGATGCACTGGGAGGGTGTCGTTGAAATGGCGCAAGCGGATATCGAGGTAGCGGATACCAGCACGAAGCTGCTTGGGAAGAGTGAGCGACTGGCATTGAATTGCATCTCCGCCATATAAAGAGCAGGTGTCGTGCGTGCCCGGAATAAATAAATCCCTGAGCAAGCGCTCGTCCGGAAGACTTTTCATCCAGTTGGGGTGTCGCACATCAATGTCGCTCTTAGCATTGTAGTCGGCACGCTGGATGTTGCCCATTGCTTGCAATGCTGGACAGCTAGGACCCTGAAGCCTACGACCATAAAACGCCCAACCCCTTGCCGACCCGTGAATCTCAAAGCCTCCCCCAACAGGAGCTCTCATGTAGACCAGACCCTTACACCCCGCAGCCTTTAGGTATGTATAAGCCCGAAACCCTTCCTACCATTAGCATTTCGGGGCACCATGGGTCGGAGACTCAGCAGCTTTCCGAGCGGTTTCTCCGAAATGTAGTCAAGTTTGGGGATTTGGGTTTAGGGTTAGTCAGGGTTACGGGGTTTAGGGTATAGGTCTTAGGGTTTAAGGAATTTCTACGAGTGCAACGGCTTGCAGTTGCGGCTTAAGTTCCTCGGCGGGGTTTGGGGCTTCAGCCCCAAGCTTGCTTGGGAACAACATCTCCACTGAACCCGAAACCCTGAAACCAAAACACACACACACACACCCACACCAAACCCACCCCAAAGATTGCCTCGAACATCTTCATCCACAAGCGCAAAACCCCAACCCCGTCCCTTTGGTGCGCCGACCGCTGGAGGTAGAGGCCCGCTCTTTGGCAGCCTGCTAAAAGGCTTTAGGGCTTAGTCGGTTCATTCGGTCTGGCCAGTTTAGCCTATTAGGGCTTACAGTTTACCGTGTGGGCTGTGAGCCATAAACCCGAAGCCCTAACGATGAGCCCGAAACGATGAGTGGTAGATTTTTTCGGACCCGTGTACCTTGTACGAAGCCTTTGTTCAGGATTTCAAGACTCTCCCCGAAAAGGCCTAGGCCCAGAAACCCATCCTGGCCACCTTGGTTTACCATCTCGAGGAAGAATGGGGCTTAGGGAAAAAGGTTTAGGGCTTAGGGTTGAGGGGTAGCAGGGTGTGGGGTTTAGGGGGAGCTTATCTTAGCGGTTTTGGCACCCACAGCAAAAAAAAAACACGGGTTCCCCAATGGACCTAAATTGCAGAAGCTGACCATCAGACCGGCAACGACATCCCAAAAGCCATCCGTCCGGAAAAAAAACCTACAACCCTATATCCGTGAGAGCCCAAACCTCCGAAAGTCGAAGCAACGAGACCCTTAACCCTAAACCCTAAACCCTAAACCCTAAACCCTAAACCCTAAACCCTAAACCCTAAACCCTAAACCCTAAACCTGTCGCCTTCTGGGCCGGAGGCGCGCGCTCTGCCTGCGGTGCCTGCGCGAGGCTTCGGGGTTTAGCGGCTTTAGGGGGTTTGCCCTCGACCCCAAACCCCCCTAAACCCTAAACTCTAAACCTTAAACCCTAAACCCCAAACCCTCACCCCCTCAGAGCCCGAACCTCTTGCCGCAAGTCCTAAACCCTCCCAAGAATCCTAACCGCCAAAGATGGTAGCTCTGGTGACCCCCCCGTAACATGGGGATTCAAACCCCAAAGCCTGACCCTCTGCAATAGAATCTCTGCTACAAGCCCCAAGAGCCAAGTTGCCCAGTAATAGGCAACCTAAGATGTGTCCAAAGAGTACCATGTTTGTGTCGGGCAGGGGGGGGGCAGGTTCTCTAAACCGCAACAGATATGTGGCTGAAAGGGCTTCCAGGGTTTATGAGGCTTGTAGGGTTTGTAGGGCATATAGGATATGCAGTGACTCGAGGTCTTGATGCACCCCATAGGGCTCATAAGACTTCTATAGGGTTTATAGGTGCTGTCAGGGCTTCAAAGGGCGTTTACAGGGTATATATATATATATATATATATACAGGGTGATGGAGTTTGGGGGCTTACCGGATTTCCCACCGCATTTAAGGGCTTAAGATTCAGGGTGTTTGAAGAAGAAGACGCAGGAATATAAGATTTGGCATATATGATATTCAAAGAGCGTTGGAGACCAAACAAAAATTCTAGTTAAAAATACCTGGTCCCTCCCCTGTGGGCTTGAAGAAGTTTTCGAATTCCCAGTGTTGTGGCTTCGGATGGCTTCGGGGCCGACGATGCATAGAGCCTTCATGGCCGCAACGCTTGAACAAAGAGGATTCTCGCAAGCTGAGCCAAGCCCTAAAAACCCTAAACCCTAAACCCTAAACCCTAAACCCTAAACCCGATAGAAATTCTAGAGCCAACATCCCTCCCCCTCCCAGTCCTCGGGAGGTGTCTGTGGGGCACTCGCCCGGCCGCTTCGGGGAGCCTCGGCAAAAAAAACATCGGGGATTGATGGCTTGGGGGCTTCGGCTGAGAAGATGCAGGGACTGGGTTGAGGGTTCAGGGGCTTACGGTTTAGGGTTGAGGGCTTAGGTGCTCATTATTGCGCTTCATGATTGGCTCAATACTCGCTTCGGTGGAGACGACGCAAACTTCATTGGATTATGGGCGGTTGCTGGAAGTCTTGTGCGAGTTCTCTTGGCTGCTGCCTGCATCCGGCGCCCCACGGCAGGTACCGCTTGATGCAGGTGAATTGAAGAAGAGGTTATTTTCGAAAACAGGGGCGCCCCGTATACACGAAATCCCCACATGGATAAGGCTGCACGTCCACCCTAAACCCTAAAACTCGGAACCCCGCATGCGTAAGCCCTAAGCCCTGAAGAAACCTTAAACCCCTTCAACCCCTTAAACCCCTTGAACCGCTTAAACGCCTTGGACCCCCTTGAAACCCTTACCCCTGAAACCAATGCAAAACCCCTCAAGCCCCCGAAAAAACCCCTGAAAACCCCTCAAACCCCTGGAAAACCCCTTGAAAAAACCCTTAAACCCTGAACCAGCTGAACTCCCGAAACAGGAAACCCCCCAAAGCGGAGCCTCAGAAGGTTGGCCCGTGGCCGTGCTGCTGCCGCCTCCAAAAGCAGCCCAAGGATGTCGGGCTTCAAGGCTCGGGCTTGCGTTTTTAATTGTTTTGGGTGGGTTTCAGGGCTTTAAGTCGAGTTTAGGGGTTCTCAAGGTTCGAGTTTACCAGGTTCCAACAGCTTCTGAAAGTGATCAGGAAGCTGCACGATGCCACACAGCAACATCGAAGCCTTCGGCGGCAGCAAGCGGCACTAGCCTGTCACGTGCGCCACAGTGTTTGTACTTTCCCGAAGAACCCTATAAAAACCAAAGCGTAACCTGCACAAAAAAGCTTCATGAGCATCTAACTTCCGAAGTTCCAGCAAAATGAAAGAAGCCGCGTGGAAATGAACCTCATACGCTCCCAACGCCGAAGCCCCTAAGTAACCCCCGCAAGATCCTGACGTTGTGGGACTTCGGGTTTAGGGCTTATAGACGCAAAACCCGAAGCTTCAGATCCTAAATCCCTTAAATAAAACCTTCAAGCCTCAGCAGATTCCCAAGACCCCCGTAAAGCAAGGAGAGTGCGAGAAGGCCTCCTTCCTGCTCTGGGTTTAGGGACTCAGGACTCAGGGCTCTCGGGTCTGAGCCTCAAAAAAAACTCAAACCTTTGCTCTCGGTGCTTCATTCAGTTCATGGCAGCCACCGGGCGCATCTTGCAACTGTCCACGGGCCCTAGGAGCCCTGAGCTCTTTCCCCTACAACGAGCCAAAGTTGCCCTTACAAGCCCTCCAAAACCACCCAAGGAACTGCCAAAACAGAGGGTTTAAGGTCTAGGGGCTTTAGGGGGCTTCGGGGGGGGCTTAGGGGGGGCTTAGGGAGCTCAGGAACCTTGGGCTCAGGGTGGCTTTGGAAGCTTCGCGGCCTGGGAGGTCCCTGAGCCATAAACGTAGCGGCCTAAACCCTAAACCCTAAACCCTAAACCCTAAACCCTAAACCCTAAACCCTAAACCTTTGGGACTAAGTTGCCCCGAGCCTTGCTTGCAGCTGCGCTTCCAGCTGCTCCACCCGCTGGAGCAGCAGCTTGACCTTTCAGGGCTCATGGAGCTACAGGGTTTAGGGTTTAAAAAGAGACTAAGGTTTACGGTTCAGGGTTCAGGGTTTCAAGAGATTAAGGTTTAGGGGGCTTAGGGTCTTTAGCTTAACCTTTCGGGTTCATTGCGCTACAGGGTTAAGGGTTTTAAAGAGATTAAGGTTTAGGAGCTTAGGGTTTCTAGCTTGACCTTTCAGGGTTCATGGAGCTTAGGGTTTAGGGTGTAAAGAGCTTAGGGTTCAGGGGGTTTAGGGTTTTGGGGGGTTCGTGGGTTTAGCGGGCTTGGAGGGTTGATGGTTTGAAGGATTTAGGTCCTAAACCCTAAACCCTAAACCCTAAACCCTAAACCCTAAACCGTAAACCCTAAACCCTAAACCCTAAACCCTAAACTTTGTCGGGTTTATGATTGAACTTTAGGGTTTTGGGGCACTTCCAACCCCTACACGCGAATTCCCGCCCCTTTGCCCTCTCTATGTATCTACCTATCTACACATTAACTTGAGGTTCTTATGTCAACTGTAACATCCCCTCTCTCCCTAGCCCTACATGTATATATAACCTATGCTAATGAGGTCCCGGTTTCAGCTGGGCTTCATTTAAGGGGGTGGGGGGGCGCGCTAGGGATTTTAAACCTAAACCCCAAACATCGGACCCGGAGCCTGAACCGCAACTCCCCAACCTTGCGCCCTGCGCCCTAAGCCTAACCCCCCCAGGGTTTAGGGTTTAGGGTTTAGGGTTTAGGGTTTAGGGTTTAGGGTTTAGGGTTTAGGGTTAGGGTTTAGGGTTTAGGGTTTAGGGTTTAGGGTTTAGGGTTTAGGGTTTAGGGTTTAGGGTTTAGGGTTTAGGGTTAGGGGTTAGGGTTTAGGGTTTAGGGTTTAGGGTTTAGGGTTTCGCGTTTAGGGTTAACCATCAACTAGGCCTCCACTGGCGCTGCCGTTGGTGCTGGCGCCGCCGCTGGCGCTGCCTCTGACTCTGCCAGGGCGGTGCCTCAAGGCTGTGGGTTGGCAGTGACGGTGGGTCGGAATAATTACTAATTCCCTTGTGGTCTCTAGATAAGAATGCTGTAATCGCCCCCCCCAAACCCTATTCTGATTATTAAGGGCCCTATAGTACAGGGTTTATAGAGTGCATGTCGGTTTTGGGGGGTTGTCGGGCTCATGGGTTGTTTTGGGTGTGTTTGCATGGAATTAGCCTCAGGATTTCCAGTTTTGCAGGGTTTTAGGCCTCTTGCTGTCGGGAAGGGCCGGGCAGGGCACCAGGACCCAAACCTTCAAAGCAAAGCCACAAAGCAAAACCAGGCCAAACTAGAAGCCTTCAAAACTGCTAAAAGCCCAAAGCCCTGAGCCTGTAGAACTTTATATTTCAGCTGCCTGAGATACCCTAAATCCCAAAACCTAACTCTAAACTCAAAGCCCTAGACCCCAAAACGTACAGCCTCGCCTGCAGCTTCAACTGCAGCATTGGCCGGGGGTCTATCCTCCGAAGCGGCACCCGACTCCTGCTTTGATTTTTCTTAGAGTGTAGGGTTTAGGGTTTACGGCTAAGTGTTTCAGGGATTTCGAGGTTGAGGGATTTAGGGCTTCAGGGATTTAGGTTGAGGGATGCAGGGGTTTGAGCGGAGGGTTTCGGGTTGAGTTCTGTTTGAAGCTCCAGGGCTTAGGTTCTAGGGCCTCCTCGACCCTACACCCTAAACCCTAAACCCTAAACCCTAAACCCTAAACCCTAAACCCTAACCCTAAACCCTAAACCCTCTACCACGACCATAAGTCGCAGGTCTCAGCATGCTGGACGTTTCTCATCCAAACTACCTTTTGTCTGGCCAGAGCCGCTGGCCTAGCCCTGAACAAAAGCAGTAAGGAGCCGGCCCTAAATCCTAACAGCCTAAACCGAAGCCCCCCAATTCGGGCCAAGGGTGTAGGGTCTACGGAACTTTAGGGTTTAGGGTGTGGCGGTCTTGGGGCTTCGGGCTTTAGGGCACCCTAGGGGTCAGGTTCGACATGCTAGTAAAGGAACAGGGTTTAGGGTTTGCCTTTTAGGGCTCTTGTTGTGGGGCTTGGGGCTTGGGGCTTCGGGTTTTCGGTTCTGGTTTTAGGCTTTAGGGTGGTATCGTGGCACAGGCTTTTTGAACCGGATGACGAGCATTAATCGACAACCTCCGGTGATGGGGCTGTAGGTTGCACCCAAGCCGCCCAATCTGCTGTAGTTTCTGGTTTCCGGCTTCATTTAGGACGATCTCCCTGAGCGCCGATCCATGCGCAAAATGGTGACGCAGGCTTTAGGATACCTAATTTTCTGAGATACTTTACTCACCATTAGCTACCCACAATAATGGACTTCGTAGGTAAAGAGACTCAGAAGCCCTGACACACAAGTTGTTGCTAAACGCCCGAGTCCTGCCGGTAACGTGTTCGGATGAGCATCCGTCTGTCATGGGTTATATTAGCTCGGTTTTTCGGGGGTGCAAGAACCAAGATTACCTGGTTGTATGGCAGCCGTTACGAAAAAAGGGGAGCTGTCAGAGCCGCTATGTCTAGGAGAGCGAGCTGCAGCATGGGCGTTGCTCTCAGTTAGGTGCGCCTGTTTGCTAGATACAGGTCTTAGGGTTTCGCAACGAATCGTAATGGATTGAACAGAGATTCCCTCCGAAAGGGCCGATGGTTTGCATCAACCAGATTATGTTTGGTTCTACATTCCGAAGCCCACGGATCCCACATCTCTGCGCCTAGTGCCCCACGCAACGACATGACAGCCTGCACCCGAACCCTGAACCCTAGACCTTCATCCGATCGCTCCGAAACCAACCTCCTCGCAAGCGCAGCCTACAGCACTCGGAACACTCTTCTCTGCCACAGACTTGACTTGGCTTCCGAAAATGAAGGATCGACCTTCAAAGGATTGGGATATAGGATGTCGGAATGTCCAAGGACTGGGCGGGTAGGCTTTGAGAACTTAGGTCCTTCAGGCTTCGGTGCAGTTTGAACGAGATTTCCGGAAGCTGCCATGACTGTCTTCCACAGCCGTCGACGCCACTGTCACGGTGCCAGTTATCAGACACCTCCTTTGCAGTAGCGCTCCGCAAGGTGCTATTCCGGCCTAACAAGCCGAAACGCTGAACTTGGCCGGCCCTCACCTCTATAACTCTGTATTTGCCCTAAACCCTGAACTTGGCCCTAGATCCATCCCAAAGGCTCCTGCGCGCGTCACGCAAGGTTCAAGCAACCCACCCTGCATGGCTTCGGTTTCGTGCAAGACCTTGCAAGACCTACTTTTGTCAACCCGGAAGCTGGGCGCTCGGGTCGTTGTGTTCTGAAGGCGCAAGCCCTTGGTCATCAACCTGCGTAACGTGGCCATAAACGCAACGGCCAGTATCCCCTTCACTTGGCGACTGTACGCTTCTTCGTTTGGGTACATTGCCTGGGGTTCAAGCGATGCTTCAATCTCTGGAACCCTAAAAACCCTCAACCCTAAGCCCTAGGCCCTAAACCCGTTTGGATCCGGCTTGCGGGGGAACCGACCGAAAGGGTGGTCGTTGCAGCTCTACGGAGCACTACCGCGGGCGCTACCCCCTGTGCCGCCCATGTCCGCATCGCCATCCTCCAGGGCATCTCAGGGTTTAGGGTTTCTACAGGGGTTTAGGGTTTAGGGTTTAGGGTTTAGGGTTTAGGGTTTAGGGTTTAGGGTTTAGGGTTTAGGGTTTAGGGGCTTAAGGGTGTAGGGGGTTGAAGGGCTGAGGCGCTTATGAGGTGAAGGTGAAAGCTTAGGGGGTTGGTTTAAGGTTCGAGGCACAGGACTCCATATCTACTGAATCTACTCTCGGTTTCCGGTCGTGTTAACATCAGAGAGCTCCTGAACTACACGGCCAACGACATCTTACTCTTTGCCTGAAGCCGCGTGGTTGAACACCATCTCAGGTCAGCGTGAGAATGCTCATGTCGACGTAGGGTGATGTGAGGGCAGTGCTTGAGAAAAGCTGGCTAACTCATTTGGGTTGCCCACGTCTACTAACTTGGCACTGAATCCATGCATGTCCGGATCGAGAGGGTATCCCAAGTTGCAGATTGCTCGTCGCACTTCTTCAGTCTCAGTATTGCGGAGCCTTTTTCAACATTTAGCTATAGGCAGACGTGTCCCACCTGCCTCCAGACGCATGGCCTAAACTCCACACCCGAAACCGCCAACCCCTATACAAATCCCAAACCCAAAACCCCGAGGCCTAAATCCCCCAAAAAACCAAAACCCAAAACCCTAAACCCCCTGTCCTCCTCATCCTCCTCCTCGTCCACGGCAGTCTCGACTGTTGGGGCGGCAGCAGCCGAAGCCGTCGCCTTTGCAGGAGTGGATAGGTTTAGGATGGTTTAGGGCTTGGGGCTGGGGATTTGGGGTCTGGAGTTTAGGGCGCTTAGGATTCAGGGACTAGCTTCAGGTTTTTGGTGGTAGTGTTCGTAACCCTAAAACCCTCAACCCCTAAACCCTTCAACCCCTAAAACCCTCAAACCCCGAGTCGGCCTGCTCTGGGACAGCGGCGGCTGCAGCTGCGCTCGGCGCAGGCTCCTGGAACTGTGCAGTCGGGAGCCCACGAGGTGCTAAGTAGCTCGGCAACCGAGTCCTAAACCCCCCGAGCCGTAAAAACTAAAAGGCTTGGGGTTTTTGGCGTGTCCCCCTTGAGGGGTTGGGGACCATGTTGGCTTCGTGAGGAAACCAGACCCCGAAGACCTACGGTCTCAGGGTTTGGGTTTGGGACTGAAGCCAGATGTGGTCTTCAGAGTCGGAATTACTCCCTCCGCTGCTTAGGATCATAAAGCCATGCGGCAAGTGATTCTACCGGCCCAAGCGGCACGTTCCCCATGTTGCTTCTAGGTATGCCTTTGGACTTCAAGGAGATCTTAGTCTTCCCAGGCGACGGGTACATGAAACCTTCCACACCCCTCAGCCCCGCCCTGATTCTCTACAAAGCGTCAACCTGATAGACCCTCAAACCCCATAGAAAGCCCTGAGCTTCATGAGCCCTCAACCCGACAAGCCCTCGAGCCCCACTCAAAAGGTGCCACAAACCCGGAACCCCTGAAACCCTAACCTCTGAATCCTAAGCCCCTAAGGCTCCCTAAGCCGGACACGGACAAAAAAAAACACAAAACAGGAGCCTGGGGGGTAAGCAGCTGATCCGCCACCACCTGCGGTTTAAGGTTTAAGCCTCGGGTCGAGTTCTTGGAGGGCCCGAACCTCATAAAGCCCTCTCGCGGTCGGGGGGAGGAGGGGGTTTGCTTGAGGTGCTGGCGTTCAGGCGTAGAAGAGGCCTGTCCCTACTGCAGCTTCTACCTGTGAACTGAATCCCGAAGCCGCAACCCCTAAAACCCCAAACTCCCGAAATCTTCAGCCTAAACCCGTCCAAAGCCCAAAATCCCCGAAACCCGAAGGCCCTTAAATGTTCAAAGGCCTTCTGGGAGGCTCGGGGGAGCTTCCAGGGATTGAATGAAGATTCTTGGAGATTCCGGGTCCTTCAAGAGCTTAGGGTCTTAAGGGACTTATGAGGCTCCCAAACCCTAAACCCTAAACCTTAAACGCTTAAAAAACTCGAGACCCTGTAACCCTGAAACCTGCAGGGGAGCCGTAGATAGAACGGTGCAGCATCCTGGCCAGTTCCCCACACACTCCACTTGTTCAATCGCAATGGGGATGTCAGGTCAGCGGCGGCTGTACTTCGGGTTTTGGGTTGAGGGTTTAGGGTTTCTGATATGGAGATTCACAGGGCAAGGCGGCTGAATGTCCTACACTTCCTGTTGGCGAGGACCGTGTCGCATTGCGGCTCACAAGCCACAAAAGATCAGTGAGCGAAGGCGCCCTGAGCCCTGAGCCCTAAACCAACCCCAACCCCGCACACCTAAATCCCTAAAGCCTGAGGCCCTGAACCCGAAAATCCCTAAATCCTCGTCGTGCCTCGGTGAGGCTGGAGACATCTCCCGTCGCCAATCCCTGACAATGACCCACAGGCGATGGCAGATTGAGAGGTTTGGGGTTCAGGGTGTCAGGGCTTAGGGTTCAGGAGTTTGGGGTTGAGGGGTTTAATAAGGTTTTGGGTGTCGAGGGGTTTAGGGTCCAGCGTGGTGGTATACAACATCCTAAGACCTTCAAAAAACCTACAACCCTGGAACCCCTCAAACCCCAAATCCCTGAAGTCCTAACATCCTGAACTCTAAGCCCCTAGACGCCCTAAACCTCTGCACCCCAAAGCCTAATGCCCCAAACCTTACCCCTAAATACATAAATCCCTAAACTCTTATAACTGTATAAGCTCTAATGTTGCACCCTCTGTAGTGCGTGCCCCTTGAACAGTCGAAGCTGGTTTTCGCAAGGTTTATACGGTCCCAGGGTTGATCATTAAAGGATCCCATCGCACACCCCCAAGCAGTCGCAGCATCCTGAAGAGCCTGCAACATTAAACAGGGTGCAACATTAAACCCCTAGAGCCCTAGACCTCTGCACCCTCCTTAAAACCCCAAA